TCCTATCCTCAGCCTCCTTATGCAATTTAATTGATATATTGGAAGCTGGACTTCCTCTGACTGCATCCAGAATTTTCACAATAAGGGGATGTTTGGAATCAGGAGAGCCCTGCGTATAAGGTAAAGGGACATCATTCTTGTGTGCTAAACCATATAGGATCTATGGGGTGTTATGAGAGTATATCACATAGAAACCTCCTTTGAAACTGGAGGATGTCACATTAGTTCTGTCCACAGGTACATAAGGTGTATTGAAAAAATTCATTCTGATGCTTTTCAGGAGGGTATACTGGAACCCACCAAGATGCTGCGCACACGTGCCTTGGAGCGCTATGGGAAGTATTATGACCCTCTGGGATAGAATGCCTCTAAGTTTGCCGTCTAGAATGGTGCATTCATATCTCCTCTGCAGAGTTGCTGTTAAATGGCATGACTGAGCCCAAAATAAACAATATAAAAGACGAATCCTGGAGCAGCCTTATGCCCTCATTTAGGGTGTTGGCTACAGACAACCTCTCTGGCTTATAAACAAGGGACAGAAATTACACCCAAACTGGTATATGTGATTGGAAACCAGTTCAAATCTGTAACACAACAGAAGTTCAGTTCATATAAACCGCTTTCAAAATGGCTGAAACTGGTTTAAGATAAAGCTGAATAGATGTAGTATCAGACTTAACTGATTTAGGTTAAATCAGTTTCTTGAACTTCTGTCCCAGCTCCCCTCCAGATTCAAGTTAACTCACAGTCCCCCAGCAGTCCAAGATGCTTTGTACCTCCGCTGCAAACCCCCACTCCCAGGGTGGGTGGGCTAGCCTTGGCCCAAGCTGTCTGCTTCAGCCCAGCAGGGAGGTGTGCTTTAACGCCCCCAGCTTCTGGCATAGGCCACTGCAGGCATGTGGCTACATTTCCGGAATCAAAAGTGAATGTCTGTTCACTTGCTTATTGGTTTAACCTATGCAGCTTAGACTAACCTGTGAAGATTGAATTGATTCAGCCTTGGGCCTTTTGACTGTCAGTACTTAGCCATAGAGCCCTCATGATGGTTACCATGCCAATAAGCCATCTTGAAAAATAGGCTTGCATCCTCTTGTTATTGTTATTCACTAGGACCCTGACTGGTCAGCTCCTGGCAGATGTATGTGGGAAAGAGGAGGAGGTAGGGTTTAAAAAGCTTTTCCACATGTGGGCCCACAAAGATTACACTCCTTGCTTGCACTTTGGACAATGATTATGCTCTGCTGTGTTAGCCACCATCAAGGTGAGCCCTCTCAGTACCCAACCTCCTAGAGAAAAAGAGAGAGAGGATAAAAAACCCCACTAGAGCTTCACAGAAGCTGTTGGTTAGTGACAGTTTCTCAATGGCCACCACTGAGTTTCATCAAATCTGTTTCTGTTTGTAATAAACATTAAAAAGTTTTCATTTAAAATCATAGTAATTTTATTGCTGTTACCCCCATGTGCTCATCTTGAATCCCTTCTTAGGTCCTCACCACAATCCACTGTACCTTTAGGAGCTCTTCCCTTGTATCCAGGAAAAGCTGAACCAAGTGTGTGTGGCCTTTGACTTACTTCCCTATCTTATGCCTGTTTTTCAGATGAACAGCTTCCTAGCTGCTGAGGTATCTTACTAAACCAGCTGGGAAGATCATGCATGATAAAAGTCGCTGCTGTGAATAAAGGAATCTCTGGAGCCACTTCAGAGGAGCTATTAATATCCAGCCATCTCCAGCCTATTTCATTTCTTCCTGCACTTCCAAAAGACTAAACATCAGAGCTTGCTGGGGGGAGATTCAGAATAAAACTATAGAGGTAAAGTTACTGCAGAGTTCTGGGTCTTTCACGTCCTTTTATAGAGCCCCTTGAGTGTAGCCGGGAGTGAGGAGAAGAAAAGTGGGGTGGTAATCTCTCAAAATCCTTTCTCAAGTGTGCAGAATAGACATGAGGAACAAAAGTAATAAAGTTAGAGAAGAGGCAGGGCACCGCTTCATTCCCCTTCTTTCCAGATGTCTTCAGCAAGAACCAGTATGGAAGGATGTAGTGGGTGAATCACCAGATAGGCAAGTCTGAAGGGAGAGGAGTTCTCAACCGAACATATTATCACCACCCCCACACTGTGTACCACTCCTGAGATCCCTCCCTGCCAGTGGTCTCGATCTTTTGTGGGGTTGCTTCTCCACAGACTCCAAAACTGATATCTGTGTGGGCAGTGGGAACACAAATGCTTCTCATACAAATGCTGAGTCAATCCTGATCAGAAGTGCCAACTCCAATTACAACCTACCTGTTGCATTCAGCATGGGAAGATCTGTAGCCAGAGTAGAGGAGGAGTTTCTTCATAGAAACAGGAAGAAGAAGTGGGAGTGTGTCAGGGCCGGCACACTGTTCATTAAAAGTAAATGTAATACTCGTAAAATACAATGATTTGCTTTTCACTTACTCTATGTCTCATCCTTTAAAAAAGGGGATAGGTTATATTACCCATATTTGAAAGCTCTCTTCTATGCCTAAGCACTTACCAGGGGCGCTTCTTCAGAAAGAAATACTAGTCCAGCTAAGAAAATCACAAATACAGGACAAAGGGCCATTCTGTTTGCAATCAATGAGTTTCCATGTCAGCAACTAGAAACTGATAGGATTTGTGATTTTATACTCAATCTCCTCAAATTAGGCTTATCAAATGGCTTAAGACCTGCTGATTCTGATTATTTGCTTAGTAAATAATAAGACAATAAGTAACCCACACAAACATGAACCTTGCCTGTGGAGATTAGTCTGTGTCATCTCCTGTGAAATAATGCAGAGGGCTTTTCTACCTAGCTGCAACAATGATTTCTAATATTTTATTCTGTATAGCCTATTCCCCTGATTTTTATTCTGTTGTTGATTTTGTATGGTATGTGATCTTGTTCACTGTGTCAGAAAATACTTTTTCTCATTGCTCTTATAAAAATGTACTTTCTTGATGTCAGTAAGGATTTTGCATATCATGGGAAACATTCTCAGCCATGCATTCAGCCTTCTTTTATCTGATGAAAGCTTTCTTCCTTCTGATTTCCTTCCTTTGTTAAATGTGTTTGTTAAACTACCCCTACCTGAGTCCTGAGATGTACAGATATCTTTGGCTCTACTAGCCTTCGAGCTCTACAGATTCCCCCAACCATATGAAACATCAACCTTTCAGATCATCTCCCACTTGTACCTTTTACAGCTGATGTATCATTACCGAGGAGAACCTAAACACACCAGAAATGTCTTGCCCGCTTAACCTCAAAGGATGTGGCTACAAAAGTTTGCATGAGTGGTGCCAAGCCAAGCAAATGTGAAGGATTTTGAAAGTCCTGGACAGAGAGGTTATTTTAAGAATTTATACAGCCCTAAAATGAGAGTTTAATTTTTCACACACGTACATATGCCTGCTCCAATTTATACTAGATTTAGGTGGATAATATAGATGTAGTTATCACGTTAATATTTTTACTTTAGAATATTTTTAGCAAATATATTGTTTTCTATACACAATGAACAGATGTCATATTCATAAAGCTTGGCAATGGCAAGTGCAAGTCAAACCTACTGTTTTTCATGCTTCAGAAATAGAAAGCTTTGCAAAAACCAGATGCCTTGGGCCACTATTGGACCTGTCTGCTTGCAATTTATTAGAGTTGTGTAACAAGGGTAGAGTCCAGAAATGAGATAATGGAATATTTAAATATTTTGGAGGAGTTATTTAACTTCTGAATTCACTTGAAACTTCTTCATCTGAGCAAGATTTTGCTTTGCAGAGTGTAAAAGTCGGAAGCCATTGGCAAGTGGGCACAGATTGTTTGTGAGAGGTGTTATTTTATTAGCTGCCTTTATAGTCCCTGCAATCCAGTAGAACAAAGCTTCTTTTACCTTAATACATATTCAAGAAAACAGGTTAATTCATCAGTTTAGAAAAAGGATTTCCAACTAGAACTCTTTTATCAATTTATCTTTAATTTGAATTCAATCACAGGCATAGTTAGCCACTAGCCAGCCTACATCTTGACTTCTGATTTTCTGATCTTTTATGATTTCCGTGAATTATTCAGATTCAGGACAAATAGGATTTGATTTACATAATTTTGGGTCTATTTGGTGGTGTAAGTGAAAATAACTCCTGCAGTGTCTTTTTCTTACAGTCTTGAATGAGCTCATGTAAGGTTTCATGGAAATATTTAAGGGACATAACAGCATATAAGATAATTATGTATTGGTTTCAGGCAGGAACTACTTTTCTTCCATTAATTCAAACTAGCAAGTGCAGAGATTTATGAGAGGTTTTAAAGCCTATATAAATTTAATGAATTCTTCAAGTGTTTGAATGTGCTTAGCATCTTAATTGCAACCTCATGCTGAAAACTATCACCCTGTTCATTCTACTTGTATATTGCTTTTCCTCTATGCTTCAAATGTCCTGTTTGCTGCTGGGATTGCCTCATCTGTGTTTTATGAAAATGGTGTGTCTTTCTCATTTGAGCTTTTGCCATCATCATAGTGTAAATAATGAATTAAAAATGAGTTATTTCATTAGAATAATTTATATTCCTGTGCATTAGAAAGAGAATATAACTTTTTGCAGAACACCAGGCAAAACATGACTTCTTTTAAAATGCCAGGCATTATACATTAAGATAATGGATTAATCATTTTCTATGGAATGGGGGAAAAGGCACCAGATTAGGGTACTGTAATAAGCCAAGTGTTCATTTGCCTCCTACTAGTGGTTTTTTAAAATTCCTTTCGTACTTCAACACACTCCATCCTTCTTCTGAGCAAAGTAAAATACTACATTTAGAATAAAAATTGTTTTAAAGAGGAAACATTTATTGACTTGCTTGAGATTGTAGTCAGGTTACAAAATGCTAAAAACTACTATCGCAAAAAGACGTGTCATTATCAATAGAAAATCAACTCCTCCTAAAATCCTACAGTAATTCTATCAGTGGTGGATATCCTGGATGATGACGCCATATTTATTCTTGTGGATCACTGACAACAGCAGTGGTTGAATAAGAGAAAGGACTTAAGAGAGCAGCAATGGTATAATGACGGTGACCGGAATCGTTAGCAGTGAAAACCACCTGGAAAAGAAAATACTTGTAAACTTGAAGAACAACATATGTGCTCCAAAACTAACTCGGTGTTCTGAGTTACTCTTTATTTCCTATATGTATCTTTTGCGGATATGTCAATATTTCAATTACCAAGTTTGCCTTTCATTAATTATGCACCCTGATAAATGAGATACAAGATACACTAGCAATTTTTTGAAGAAGTCTAAAGATTTTTTCAACTGACCTCAGTAGGTTTTGACTCAGGCTCCAAGCCCTTTATATTATTCTGTTTATCTTGTGTCTCATTCATTAGGATTGCATAATTAATACAAGGTAAAATTAGTAGCTAAAATTATAACAAGATGTATACAAGAAAAATAGTGTGTGCTTCTTAAATATAATAATAATATTTATATGCCTATCATTCTAAGCATGGGGCCACAAGCCAAGAAACCCACAAGGAAGAATCATACTAAGCTCTCTTTTGTATTACTTCACTCTCAAGAAATTTAGATAGAACCACCTTTAAAATCCTTGGCTAATTTTCCTTTCCCTTACAAAATGCCATTTGCTGCAATTTTTTTCTATCACATCATTTAGAAGTAGTCCAGGAAAAATCCACTCTGAGTTTTACTAAAAAATGATGTGCATGCAGAACGTTATGGTTGCCTTTTCTGAAGAGACACGTCATAAGAAAGAATTAATTTGTTTTCAAATTACTGAACCTGAGGTCTCTAGTCAAACCAAGAAAGGACCCTTTCTCCCCGCTACAGTATTTATTCACCATTTGTTAACTAGAGGTTTCTAAAGCCCTGCATTCCTTGCAGTAAAAATAAAAGCATTTCCATGCTGCAGGACATTGTAGTTTTAACATTTTTTAGTTATGCATAGTTTTAAGTACAGGGCCTAATTGTCTGCTGGTATAAATGAGTCCAGCTCCATTGATTTCCATGAGGGTAAGCCCGTTTATACCAGCAGAGTAGCTGACCATTAACATGAAAAAACAGTGGCTTTATTTCTTTTGTTTTGCAATCATTGTAACATTTAAATTCCTAATACTGTTCTTTGCACATTAAAGGGACAGTTCTTTTTTTTTTCCCTAGTTGCTGCTCTACACAATATCCAAAGACATTAGATAGATATATTCATAAATACTCACATCAGCATATTCATGGAATGGGGAAAGGCCAAGTGCCTTCCAGTATGAGCTGGTGTCAAACTCAACCCTGTATATTCCTTCTACAAATTTGTCATCTGATGTGAGCTCATGGACTTCCCCAAATTCTGTGGTTTTCCTGTGGTAAGAAATGTCCACATGAGTACTTATCTTACAATTCAGATGCATAACAGAAGCAGTCAGTATGGAATTTTGAATATGCTAGATGGTATAGTGCCAAGTTGTTAGGAATACACTAAACCCGACCCTTGCTACCAGCGTGGTCTTTTGGTGTTTACTTTAGAAGATATTGAGAATCCCCTGAAACAGATACTTAGAAAAAATATTGTTGTGCTAAAATGAGCTCTGCCAATTGGCACATTAGAGCTGAGCAGAAAAAGGGAAATATTTTAAAATAAGATTAGTTTATTAACTATTAGAACGAAAGGTAAATGATTTTAAATGTAATAACTACAGAAATTTAAGGAGTCTCTGAATGGTATTTCCTATATTTTAGTATCACAAGATATTATTAGCATGTAATAAAAACCTCAAGGAACCTATGTGATGGTCACCGTGCTAAGTGCCATATGCATGATTAATAACAAGAATCCCCATACCAGAGTGCTTGCAACCTAAATTAAGAACCAAGCACAGCAGGTAATGAAACCAAAAAGCAGAAGGAAATAGGAGCAGGCCTTAGCCATCTACATGTGCAAATAATACGCCTGAACTCTGCATGGAAAATTCAGGATCATTAAAGTGCTTTCAGGCACACATCTGAACATGTGCCCATCAGAAGCAAATTTGCTCCTGACAGGAGCAGTAAAGTCCAGGGCTGTTCCTGCCCTTCTCTGCCCACCTGCAGCAGCCAGGGGGAGCCCTAGGTACCAGTCCCAAGCTGGCAAGGGACATGGAGGCTGATCCTGATCTCTGCAGAGCAGGAAGAGCTGGGGGCAGCTGCCTCCCAGCCATGTGCCCCCAGAGGTGGGACAGCTCTCCCTGCCCTGTGGAGATTGGGACAAGTCCTGATCTCCACGTGGCTGAGAGATAGTTGCCCTGCAGTGGGAACAGCTCCCTCCACCCTGTGCAGATAGAGGCTTAGTCAGGCAGCAGTGGCCTCTTGTTGCCTGGGCTTTACTGGGTGCAAATTGTTCCCAGTCATGGTTTCCATGTGCACTCTAGCACATTAGTTAATGCACCATTTTTCTAGTGCCAGTGTGTATTGGTATTACAAAAAGTTCAATGGATTAATTTAATGTGCAGTAATTGATGCACACGTGCCGATAATGATGCTTTATTGTGTATTACATTAGTCCAATGCACAGTAAAGCATCTCATGTAGATGCACCCTAAAGAATTTGACCTTCAGGAACCATAAAGCTTGCTCAGATATTCAGGTAGTTGTTTTCCAGTTTCCTTTGTCTCCCTTCTCTGTCCTCTTTGTTATTTCTCCTACATGTCTACTTTTCTTTGAATCTGATTCTGCCTTTTTCTCTTGAAATATATATTAACTAAATCATTTGACTTGTTCTGATGGTGTTAAAGAAAGACAGGTCCTGAAAAGCTAATAGAACTTGTAAGTCTAAGCCACATGTGAAAACAGCTGTCTAGCACTAAATAGCTGTTTAGCATAATAAAGTGGGAGGAGGCAGGGATATGGTAAAGTCTAATGACAATTGGAAATGGAATCCATTGTACTGTTTCTGCTTCCTTTTTCTTTCTGACCCTCACCATCTAATTTTCTTCTCTTGTCTTAGTCTCAAAATTAATTATTGTAATGGACGTTATCCACCATCACTCACTGATGAACAGATGCCATACCATATACATCCATACAGTGGACAAAAAGTATGAATGAAGGAGGGTTTACTCTAATTAAAATGTAAACTGATTGTGTACTTATTTTTAATTTCCCTTAGATTAAATCCTACTCCCTTTGAAGTATGATAAATTCCCAGTAGGACCACAGTTTGATTGAGCATGAATAAAACATACTGTATCTAATATGAGCTTAAACCTATCCAAGTCTATTAATCAAGTCTATTATTTAAAATGTGACTTCTTATGAGAGTGCCAGATTTTATAAAAAGTTCCTGCAAAAATGTGTTTACTTAAAAAAATTACTAATTCCTCTGGTTAACTTAGTCACACACACACACACACACACACACACACACACACTGAATAACTCATTGAAATGTTGAATCAGATAAACCTATACATAACTTACGTGAGCATGTCTACACATTCATTAGTTCACTTTACGTAATGCACATTAAATCTAGTACCTCTGGGTGCCTCAACACAAATGCAGAGGCTGCTTTGATATGCTGAAATTTTTTGAGATGCTGCAGCTCTTAATTAGCCACTCTAAAGCACCGCTGCCTCCACCCCTCAAGCACACGTAAAAGTGCCCTCCAATGTGAGGTACTAAAAAAATGTGCATTAACATACTTTAATGCGCATTGCTAAAGGGTACTTTTTTGGTGATGTTTTAATGCTCCTTAAAATAGGGCAATATTCATTGAAGCACGTGTGTAAATGCACCCACAGTCTAGCCATGGCTCAGTTGCAAGTAAAAATTGATTCTGAATCAAAATCTTTTATCAGAATTAGCACTAAATTTGGGGAAAGTTTGGATTCAAATTAAATTTTGCAGTTCAGCTATATTTTTATAGTATATATCTTTTATAATAGAGTCCAAGTTGTGAACGATAAGAACTTTAGGGAATGATGCAATCCAGATTTAGACCACATGGCTTAACCCTGTTCTAGGTTTTGTCTGATCTAGCAGGAGTTGGATCCAGGTCTAAATCACTCCATGGTTACATAGATGTAAAATATGAATGGTGTCCTAATACCAGTTGAGAAAGTACACTGGGCAAGAGACAGCTGGGGATGGGTGAGGAGTGAACAGAAGGCTACAGTAGCTTTTAAAAGTATATTGCAAAAAATTGGGTTTGCTGCAAAAAGCAGCAATGAACCCAGTAGCAGAAGTCTCTTATTAGGAAATTATATGTTTTTACTTACATTCCTGTGCTGATGGTGGAAGAAGGTTGACCTACATGAAGCAGTCTCTCTCTTACTTTTCAAACTTTTAATATCACCTGAGTAAGATGTTTTGTTAGCAACAATAAGCTGTTACTAAGGTTTCCTATAAACCACTTTAAAAATTGTGATGATTATTTTCTTTGGAAAGAGCTACTGCTCAAGATTTGAATTGATATCACAGGTAGAATGATCAAATGTTCCACAGTACTCAGTGGCATTTTCTTCATTCCGAATCTTCAGAAAGTTTTAGACCCAGCCAGGTGCATACATTCCCTCATCCACTCGTTGAATGTTAAAACTGCCAAATGCTCTATGCTTTTGGACCTCATTTGTCCACTTGCTATGGCAGAAATAGAGCAGCTAACTTCCAGTTTGGTAACCCACATAAGTTTCTGGGTATTGTCTCATTGTGTAAGTCACATTTAATTTCTCTCTGCCTTTGCTGAATGACTAGATCCTGTACCTTTCCCTGCACTTGTCAGCTGGAATTAGCTTTCCCTGCATACTTTTTGTAAACTGTGTTTGTATTCAACTTCTAATAAAGTAGCTCTCTGGTTTTCTAATGATCTGGCTTTCTTCTAATACTGTTATTCCAAACCCAATGGCTTTATGGTATTAGGATGTAGTAATAAGATAAAAAATAACAGCAATTGTATTAACATATAACCAAAAAAGGCACCTCTCCATAAAAAAATAATATAGGCTTATAACTTTAGGTAAGCAGAATGTTTAAAGTTTTGACTTTCAAGGTGACTTGCACTATATAGCATCAAAACTTCCAACAGAGCACAACAATTTTAATAGTGGATTCTTACAGTTAACTAAGAATACTTTATCAGCATGGGTCTGTGTAGCATTAATGTACAGCTTGATTATGTGGAGGTACTAAGCTCCATTCAATTTAAAATTGATTCAATTTTCTCAAGACAGGTTAGTTTATCGATTTATCTCTGCTACTGTGAATGGGGTATCTTAGAAGAAAATGGGATATTTTCCTATAAGAAAATATTCCTATATTTTTTTCTAATATCCTAAAAGAATAAAGTCCTCCCCCTCTCCCCGCCGCCAGAAAAAGAGAGTTGTGACCATATAACACAATATTTTGAACCAAAACAAATCTAGGATAATTTCTTCCCAGGGGAAGCTCATGTCTTTGTAGAACAACTATTCAGTCATGAATAGTCATGAGTCACTCTGAGATATTGCCTTCTAACCTCAGGGTTCCTTTTTTCATGGCAAACATGGGTCAGTAGCCATGCCTTATTTTAGTCTCTTTTAATTTAACCTACCCATTTTTTAGACATTATTGAGCATGAGTTTATCCAAGATCTCTCAAGTTGTCACTCCATTCATTCTCTACTTGCATTGACTTTTAGTTTATTTATAGGACAGAAAAGCACAAGCAGAGTGCTATATCTGAGACTGGAACTCCATGGCCTTATAGTATTCTTCAAAATCTGTGCTCTGATTAGTTCATTTATCTTTGCATGCTTAGCAGTTTAGTTTTTCTAAATCTCTCCCTCGGTGACTTTAATAACCTATGGGTGCTAAACTTTAAATAGCCATGGTAAACATTATTCCCTGATTTGACAAAGCCTAGAAATGGTCTGTTGTTCTGTTTCTAGTTCTATGACAAATTGCACCCTCATGCACTCTTAACACCAAGAAAATGCATGCTTTTAGTTGTTACTTCTGCTACTTAACAAGTTCCCAAGTCACCAATTTCCTTCTCACCTGATGATAATATATTTTGAGTTGGCCTGCCATAATACCCATAAACGAAAGGTAATTATGGTGGATCCATGTTGGAAAGTCAGAAGGTTTTGAGTGGAGTTCCACAGGGGTATATCCTGGACCCAGTATTATTCAACATGTTTATTAATTATTTGGATGCTCGAACAGACAGCTTCTTGAGCAAGTTTGGAGATGACCCAAAATTGGAAAGGAATTTCCAATTCGTGGAGGATAGGAGTGCAATTCAGAAGGATCCTGGAGGATAGGAGTGCAACCCCCCTGGAGGATAGGAGTGCAATTCAGAAGGATCTTGACAGATTGGAAAGTTGGGCTAAAACTAACAGAATGAAGTTCAACATTGACAAATGCAAGGTGTTACACCTCAGGAAGAATAATCAAAGCCACATATACAAGATGAGTGACAATTGGCCAGATGGCAGCACTATGGAAAAATATCTAGGAGTCTTGGTGGATCACAGACTCAATATGAGTCTTCAGTGAAACGAAGTCACACAAAGGGCAAGTATGATTTTGGACTGCATTGATAGAATCATTAAGTACAAGACACAAAAGGTATTACAAAATATAATAGCACTAGGTAGGCCTCATATAGAGTACTGGGTGCAGTTTGGGGCTCCACATTTTAAGAGAGACATGGACAAGATAGGGTTGAAAGGCAGGTGACAAAAATGATAAAAGGCTCGAAACAGAAGCCACATGAGGAACTAGGCACGTTCAGCTTATGGAAAAGGTGCTTAAGAAGGGACATGATAAGTCTTCAAATACCTGAAGGGCTGCCACAAAGATGAGAGAGAACATCTTTTCTCTCTTGCTGCAGGGAGTAGAACAGGCCAATGGCTTGAAATTGAAGCAAAGTAGGTTTGGATTCATTATCAGGGGAAAAACCTTTTTCACTGTTACAACAGTGGAGCAGTGATTCCACCCTATACTGCCTATGGAATCACTGGAGGTGATGAGCAAGAAGAGGTTGGATGAGCATTGGCCAGGATTGATCTAGAAGTAGCTATGCCTATGCTATACTATGGGTCTTTCCCATGCTTCTGAGCTTTGCTGGTTGCCACATGGGGCCAGAAAGAAATTTTTTCCCCTCTGCTGTTCCTACACGTCAGGGCAATTTTTTCATCTTCCTCCAAAGCACTGGGTGTTAGCTGTAGCCAAAGCTGGGGATTTTAATTAGCCTATGCCAGTGCTTCTGCTGGGACTAAAACCTAGAGGTTCCTGACTAGAGGATCTTGTTTCTCTATTTAGGGTCAGACTGATCACCACATTTAGGATCAGGAAGGAATTTTACCCCGTGGTCATACTGGCACAGACCAAGGGGTTTTTGCTTTCTTCTGTAGCGGGATGTGTGGACCTCTTCCTTGGCTCTCTCAAGCATATTTTGACAGCACTTGCAGCAGCACCATTTTTCCCCTGCTTTACTTGTGGCAAGTTAGGGTGCTATGCTTTGTGGTTGTGTGGCAGGATTGCCTGTGTAGTTTGAGTAATAGATAAGGAAAAAATGTGCTTGGGGTGGCGTGGATAGGGATGAGACTGCCTCAGGCAGGGGGTTGCACTAGATGACCACCAGAAGTCTTTTTCAGCTCTACTTTCCTATGATTCTATGAATAGTTCTTACATACACTGTAATAAGGGAGAAGGGATCCAAGCATTATCTTGCTTTTAAATTACTAGGCAGGAAAACACAATGAAAGTCTTTCCTAAGGAAGCTGGAGTAAATGGGTTTCTGGGGGAATCGAATACATGGAACCACCACTTAAAGGCAGGCCTCAGATATATTGCTGTATCGTGGGGTCCTGAATAGCAACTGGTGTCCCTCTATACTCTTTACCTCATGTTTTTTTGGCTGCTAGAATTATGAGAGAGCAGATTTAGTGATTTCCTTCCTCAACTGTCTCTAGGTCTTTGCTCTGTACTTGCTCAAACATGGCATGGAGCCAAACTTCCCAGCATGCAAGTAAAGAGGAAGCCTTCACTCAGGTTCAGCTGATTCATCCATGAGCTCCCAGGCAGACAGACCTCCGAAATTTCATGGCATGAACTAACTTCGAATATCTCTTTGCCAAGAAGTAAATGGCATCAGGGATGAGCAGACTTTGTTGGATTATTGTTCATATACATTGAAATAGAAAAGAATCCCCACCTCCCTCAATAAAAAACCTTCACCAGGTTTTGCTGTCCCAGTTTTTCATGTTTTTTTGTTTTAGTCATTTCTGAGGAAAATGTTATTTACTGGAACTGTTGTGTCCAGCCTGGCAATTTGTAATAACTTAGTCGCTGAAATAAATCAAATATAAGACATGTTGGAAATGCTTACTGCAGGGACTAATGCTTACTAGCGTAAGTAGTTACATTGAAATAAATGGACCCACCTGCTGCAGTAAGGGACTTCTCTAAAGCTCATTGAAGTCAATGGGAATCTTTTTTTTTTACTGGAAAGGGCTGTGATTCAGGCCCTACACCTGAGCTTAAGTGTTTTCAGGATTGGACTCATAGGGGGAAAGTATAATTGTCAAACAAATCAGCTATTCCCTTCAGTTTCTCACTGCCTAGTTTTCTCTAGATGCTCCTGTTTCATCTACCAAATAAAGCAAAAAGAAAAATCTATTAGTAGTTTTTCTGCTCCTGTCAATGCTCAAGTCCCACTTGTAATCACTGGGCCAACAGTTAATTGCAAGCGAACAAAAATACTTAAAATCCCCAAACTGATTTTGAATCAAATCAGTGTAGGTGACGGAGAATAATACCAATTCCCTGATTTAGGTTTCGCTCAAGTTATTATTGTACTCTCTGGATTGCGCAAAATGTTTGGGGCTAAAACTGCTATTTATCAGGTCTAGTAGCCCAGGTAAGACGTATAACCTTACCATTCTACTTTTTCTACCTTTTAAATGTAGAAAATGACCAAACATTACTGAAAGCCTGTTTTTTTGGTGTGTAAATGTCTAGGTCTACAATTTTTGTCATCTTCTAAGGTTATGTACAAGCATTGTATCTAGATCCGTCTAACCAAGGTTGGGTTGATTTAAATGGCCAGGCATGCAGGTGTTTTTAGGGTTTAGGTCACTGAAAAATGGCATGCCCTATCTAAAGTTAGTTCACCTCATGGGGCTAACCTGATCTGAAATGGGTTAACCCAGCCTCGTGGATGCCTGAACATGTTCATAGATAAGGTTCTTTGGGTGAACATATTCACAGCACAGCTCCAAGGATGGGAAGCCCCTTTGCCACACCCCCAGGGCTACACTTTTCCTAATCCCAAATCCCCAACCCTGACTGAACAATTTTTAGCCCCCAAACTACCCACTCCTCATGGACCCACCAGTCCCTCTGCCCCCTTCCCCGAGTTACTTACCTTGGGTTGCCCACACAATAAAGTAAGCTGGGTCCTGTGAATGCTTGTTTGCACCCGAAGTCAATGGCATGTATGAAAGCATGGCATGAGATGTACACCAAGGGAAGAATGAATATGCAGCCACACAAGAAGGAATATAACATAATAGTATATTTATAAAAATACTAGATTATATTCCTTCCTCTTATTCCCTCAGGGAAAAATTCCCAATCCTGGTAGACCTAACATTATTTATTTATTTTCTTTTTTTATATCCTGGTCTTCTAAAGTCATATTTAGGTTCCTAAAGGAAAAATGGATTCCTGCAGCTCCCATTGATTTCATAAACACAAGGCAAATGCTAATTAGGAACAATGTTGCTAAGTAAACTGTATCGTTGTATCACAAAGATAAGCCTGTTTAACAGTGACACTGCATGGATCTTTTCCCTAGGCAGTTTGTACTGAGTCACATTTTATGCATACTTTTAAAGCTGCTTCTTATATTCTATAAAATAATATAGATTTTCTAGTGATGATAGGAAAGCATGCTGTGGTTTTAGAGACCATTTGAACCATTCCATTTCCCTCATAAGGAAATTGGCAGGAATATTAAATTTGACATGGGATTTGTCATCTTTAAAATATTTAAATCAATTCTGAATTCTGCTTCTCCCATATTACTACCAAATGTTTTGTTTTTCCAGGTCTGTCAGCGATGTTGTATTGCTTGAATAAGGGAGAGAAGGAAGTTTGTAAGATACTTAGAGTCCGGCAAAACAAACAATCAAAAACCCTCTCTCAGCAGGATGGCTTCATGATTTGGGTACATACTTTGGATTTGGGATTCCTGGGGTTCAGTTTCCTGCTCCACTCCATAGTTTTACATGACCTCTTAGACAAATCATTTTGAGTCAGATGCATAAAGGCATTTCCTTGGGAATGACCTGTGTGGATCTCAGGCCTAATTCACTCCTTATTCACTCCTGTTCCCAATCACAGAGCCTTTGTGACAATGCATATACTACAAGATGGTAAAGTTCTCAGTTATCACAAAAATAGGAGCCATGAGAGTGTTGTGGACAGAGCCACAAGGAAGTATTGTGGACCTGATTCTGTTCTTGGCTCAGTGTAACTCTGAATACGGTAATTAAGGAGTTGCTCTTGACTGACCCTTTTCTAAGTGACAGCAGTGGTGAAGATGGCAGGTGCATGCAGTGTCAGGATGTTTAGGGCCTGGTAACAAAATTTACAAGAGGGCAATTCCCTTGCTTTTCCTTTACAATAAAGCTGTGGTCCCTCTGTATATTAATATGGTTAGTCTGGAGTGTATATAAATACCGGCAAACAGGTTGCTACCTTTTTAAACACAGGTAGAGCAACAAGTTGTGGAATCAAGAAGAACAATATTAAATATTCCCCTACTAAAGTAAAATGAAAATCTTAGTGATGCGAACTGTCTCCCATCATAGGCCTGATCCCACTTATTCAGTATGCTTTGGATTAGGCCCAATATGCTAAATATTAACGGTTGAAAAGGGATTAATGAAATAATGATAATCTTTTAATTAATGCCAAAAAAGAAGTTGCTCTTCAAGCAAAGTCTTCTCTTTGTATCCCATCCTATTCTTTAAGACACTGAAAACTGTTGCAGGGTGCATCATCACTTACCCAGCAGCAAATTCTTGCCAGTCTCCATCTGAAGTCTTTTTAAACACTTTAATTGCTACATTGGCAGCTGGACTTCCTCTAACCGCATCCAGGACCTTCACCATAAGTGGGCACTTGGAATCAATAGAACCATGGGAAACCTTGGAAAGCAGAAAAAATATGTCTAATGCAGTAAACGTGTTGGGGTTATTCACCACATCTACTAAAATTCCTCCTCCAAAGAGCAAAAGAGTTCTTATTGCAAAATAGCATCCATAGCAGAGCATATTCTAAGCCTAATTATATTTTATGCTCCATGGAGTTCACGAATAGGTGTTTCTTATACCTGGATGACCTAAGAATTAGGTGTATTCTGCCACTTCATAGAAGCTTTGCATAATAAATACACAAATGTTGCTTAAGACAATATATAGTTCTGGAAAATGTTATGCTAATTAACATTCTGGGAAAATATTGGCTTCTCCAGATTTGTTATTCTGTGATTAATTCTCAGTAATACTTTAATATAATATCCCATCTTAGGAGCGCATGCTTTATAAGTAGCACAGAATTAAGCTTTATGGTGTCCTGGAAAGGCAAGTAAAAATTATCCCCATTAGACAGATATGGAAACTGAGTCAAAATTAAGTGACTTGTCTAAAGACAATATCAAAATGGGCAACAATCACCTAGATCCCATCCCCTTGCCTTAAGCAGATGACTTTGGATAATCTTAAAAAGGACTTCATCATTTTAAATAAAGATTGTAAAGAAATTACATGAGAAAATGACAGTAGTAAAAAGCATTGTAGCATTGTTATGAGTGAAGGAATTTGTTTTGAGTTTTAGTTTAGTAATATAATATTCATATAATAAATTATATAATGTCTGTGCATCAATTTATACTTACTTTTATTATATTTTACAGTCCTTCAAATTCTACCCCCTAAATGCAAAAACACTTACCAGTGGGGCAGCTTCAGACAGAAATACCAGTCCAGCTAAGAAAACGAGAAGCATAGATTGAAAAGCCATTCTTCTTGCTTTTAACTAGCCTTGGTGCCAGCAGCTAGAAGCTAATGAGATTTGGGATTTTATACCCAATCCTACAACAAAACAGGCTGCTTGTCAGGTGCCCATATGACTCCAAATCTGCTGATTCTGATTATTTGCTTAGTCAACAATCCAATCCTATAGTTGTTCTATGCATAGGGTTGCCATTCAAGTCAATGGGAGTTTTGCATGTAAAACTAGGATCATTAGAGTTAAGAGAATAAGTAACCCGCACAAATATGAACCTTGCCTGGGGAAATTAGGCTGTTAGAACACCCTTCATGAAATCATAAAAGCAACCTCTTCCTGTCTAACTATGTTGCTGGTTATACAAGAATCTATTTTATTGCCTTCATGTGTGCAAGATAATTTCTCATGCATTTACTTTTATATTCCCTTTCCATATTGATGTTCTTAATGACCAGTTGCAAGTAAAACTGACATTTTCTTTTGTGACACAATTTAAATAAAACATGATACAGTGTTGCAGAAAAAATAGTGTGGGTGAAACCCTAGACCAATTAAAGCAATGGCAAAGCTTTCACAAACTTCATGGGGGTTTCATTCATGGTTTATTTGATGGCAAGTTGGTATGACCTAAATCAAAATAATGGCTTCTTTTTTGTTTCAGTTTTTGTATCTGTCACTCTTTATTTTTCACCTTAATATATGAGTGGTTTTTATTGTAATAAAAATCAGGATCAAGGCCCTTTTATACTAAGTGCTGGTCAAGCACTGAGGTACAAAAAGGGCTCTGCTCATGAAATGTGAAATGGTTGCATTCTCCATTCACTTTTCTCCTGTGCAACAGGACTGCATAAGGTGTTAGGCAGCTGGGAGTCAGGTTTAGTTTACTTGGAGTGATGGAGTCATTTGGATCTTGCCAGGTAAAAAGTCTACTCTCGGATCAATGTGGCAAGTCTTTGCTTTGATATTTTCTTCTCCCCACACACATGGGTTCCTTGCCCATCATGGAGTTCCTGCTCATGGTAGGAAAGTAGAATATCTGTGAGCTGCCAGACTCACCTACAGGCAGAATGCTGCTGGTTTTTCTATGCTAGGATGACCACATGTCCTGTTTTAAAAACCTGTCAGTGTGATCAAAGGAGTGCTTTTATCCCATTTCCAGAAAACTCCACTTCTGTAATGGTACGGGGTGGGGGGTGTTGTAAAACATTTTTCCTGTTTTGAGACTATGGAAATATGGACACCTTATTCTTAGCAGGCTCTTTATAAGGATGTTAGTGGATAAAAAAGGAAATGTTCATATTTTTAGCAAAATACCAACCTGGATTTAGCATTGGCTCACACTGGCAACTGCTGGAATATATTTCTTTTATCTCCTCATGAAACTTTTCCCTGGAGAGATACTGTATTTGAAAGATGCCTATTCCTGTCTTCATGAAACCTCTCTATATGAATATCAGATTTCATCTGCATTATATATTTTCCTTTATTCCTTAACATTAACCTTTTGGTACCACAAATGGACAAAAAGTTATGAAAATATTCTATCTCATTTAAAATGTCAATTTTCTCTGTCTTTTCTCTCAGTGTGCTGCACAATTTGAACCAGTATTCATCTCCTGATTACCAAGTGGCCCAACATATTGGAGGGTATTGATATATTTTGTAGACAGACTAGATTACTACTTCATATCACTGAGGCCTACAACATCTCTGGAGTCAGTGGATAGATGATAGATTCTGGGTTCCTCTGATCAGAAAAACCTTGAATCCTGTGGAATTTAAATAAAACAGTCAGCCATATGCTTCTAAGGACATTACCAGGTGAGAGTCACCTACCTCTTCCAATCCGATACCACCAAAGGTAAAACATTATAGTATGGATCAAGGAAAGAGGAGTAAGTGATTTAGGGGGATTGCTAGAATTGGAGCACAAGGCAGCTTTAAAAAAAGTACATCTTGGAGTCAGAAGATCTGAGAAAATTAAGATAAGAGAGGGAGATATGGTAGATCAGAACGAGACAAGGATGTGCCATATATAGAAAGTTGGTCAAATTTGCTAAGACGGTAGTTCAGTACTATGGCATTTGCATTTGTCTGTATTATGTGTGGAAGACAACAGGCTTTGAACGTTCTATCTCATCAATTCCAACATTTTGGGGAATATTTGAGGCATCAGTGGGCAGAAATCTATTGATTTGTAGAACAACTAGAAAATTAGAGGAGGAAAATGGCAGCAAAATAGAAATCTGTGTTTCTATAAATCAAACAGTGGGTGGTTGGCACCCATTAACACCATCCTGCACAGTCATACCCCTGCTCCTCCTCCCAACAGGGTTTAACACAGTGACCTTCTGGTGCCTGAAATGATTTATTTCGTACACAAAAAATTATGTGGGTAGGAAAGGAAGCCTAAGGAAAAGGAGAAATTGAGTATACAGCCTCTGGCATAGCAAGAAAATGGTGTAAATGGGGAGAGAATGGAGAACACAGAACCCCTAGGAGGGGAAGATGATGATGTGTGGCTTGAGGAAAGGGGTACACATGGATCCGCCTTGCCTGGGGGTGAATGGGGACCATTTTACAGCAAAGGGGAGCACACAACGCTCATGGAGGGAGGGAGAGTCAGGGATCCTGGTGCTGGGTGGAAGCATAATGGGGAGCGGGGAGTGCACCGAGCTCCTGACATGGGAGGAGAATGTAAGGTTTGGGAGAAGGAGGAATGAGGTGCACAAACACGATAGCAGGTGGGAGACTGAGGAGGCTTTTGGGAATCCCTGAAAAAGAGGGAACTAAGAGTGGCATGCAGCAAGCTTGAGGGGAGGAATGCAAGGAGCCCCTGGTGAGTGTAATAAGCTCAGTCTTGCAGAACTATGAGGTACACAACCCCCTAGTTGTGGAAACCGTTGGATAATCCTCAAATATGCAAGCTTTTCAGGGCTTAGCTAAATTCCAAATCTTTTGAAGTTTGCCAGTTACTAGTTAGAATTAATACATGTCATTAATGAAAGCATGTTACCTATTTTGAAGCTTTGTAGGGTTTAAGTCAAGAACAAACATGTCCTGTTAATGTTCTTGTTTGCATCGGAGCTGTTTTCCAGCCTCACAACCTATATGTTTTTCTTTTTCACTCATGCCTCCTGACATTCATCTTTCCCCATAGCTTCCTTGTTTTCTGTTTTATTCCCATTTCTTAGTCTTGAATGAAAAAGCCAAATCCTTTTCATGAAAACTTTGTGGATATGCCCTGAAAAACATGGGAATACCATCACAAAATTGTAAACTACTGGTAGTGAGGTTCATCAGCAGAAGGAAAATGGCTGTTAGAGGATGTCATGCAGTAATAACTTTACTCAATCAGTTTCCCAAAGAATTACATTCTTCCGAACATGCAAATCACTTACATGTCTTGAAAATCATCTTGGGTGAAAACATTCTGTTTTTGTTGTTCTGGAGTAACGTTCTAGTGGCCTGTCGGGAAATAATCTGGGGTTTATTTCCCAGAGCATTGTGCTTGAACCTTCAGGAATAAATTTCATAGATTTCATAGACTTCATAGACATTAAGGCTGGAAGGGACCTCGAAAGATCATCAAGTCCAGCCCCCTGCCCGAGGGGGGGAATGTTTTATTTCATTTGATATCTAGATAAACAAGCATGAAGAGTGGATTGGCAGACAAGATCTCTGGAGTCCTAAGTATAGTACTGTCTCTGAGGTGCCGGGTTGCTATAATGGCACTTCAGACTTTTTGTGCTCTCAGACATACTGTACTGCTCATTTGTTACTTCCAAATTAGAAACAATATGGCTGTGTCTGAGTGGGGTAATTAGTATTGTTGAGTGACGTTGGAGAAGAGGAGACTGAGGGGAAATTTGTTAGCAGTCTTCTAAGGGTGATTATAGAGAGGATGGAGACAGACTATTCTCTGTGGTAGTAGGAGACAGGACTAGGAGCAATGACATGAAATTGCAACAGAGGAAATTTAGGTAGGATATTAAGATCCTAGGACATGAGTATTAGAACAGGCTACCTAGAAAGATTGTGGAAACTCCATCTCCGTAAGTTTTCAAAAACAAGTTAGACACTTGTCTGGGATGGTTTTTGTCAGGGATGATCCTGCCTTGAGCAGGGCAGGCTGGGCTATATGACCTTATGAGGTCTTATTGGTAATTATGGTCCCTGCCTCACCTTTCAGGAAGTAATAATCTGACCAAATGTAGGGCATCATTTTCATTCATTCAATGTGCATCCATGATCCTAAGTATATAAGTTTGTACCTACTGACAGGCCATTTAGATCCAGAGTAATGAGCACAACTGTATTGAGCATTTTAATGATCTTTCAGGAATTGTATCATCTCTTTAACTAACACTTTGATTATTTGAAGGATTTCTTGTGTGTCAATATTGTAATAACAAATAGATATTTATCTTGAGTATTATATCTAATGAAGTCAACTTGAAAAAGCCAGAGGGTTAAAAAATATTAATGGAAGGATTTAAAACAATAAAAAGATCCAAATTGTTTTTCTGTCAGCAAACATGCATTATTTGTTCATTGTGGAGTTTTGCCTACACTGTGGCATTGTGTCCAAGACCAACACCAAAAAAAGAAGACTCAGATAGTGAAATTGTTGCCTTGGTGCTTTTGTAATTTATGAATCCACTTGGTGCCCATTCATCTGAGTAAGCTCTCACGTTGAAAAGTTTAAACTCCAAGGTCACTGGGCAAATGAGCACTGATTGTTTCTGAGAGGTACTATTTCATTAGCTGCCTGTACCGTCTTTGCAGTCCCCTTAGAACAAACTGTCTGTTCTTTTACTTTTATACATATTCAAGCCAACAGACTAATCCATCAGTCTCAACAAACGATGGCAAAAAAACAAAAATCAATTTATACACAATGTTAATTGAATCACGCAGAACCAGAGCTGACATCTTAACCTTTCCATGTTGCTGAGAACAGCTTGCGAGTTGCCATGATCAATGTTTCTAAAGATTATTTTTTCTTAGGG